GAAATTTCGTCAAATAAAAAGTTTACACGTTTAGGTGAAAACACTTTACTAAGAGTTTGTTCATGATCATATATACACAAGTGGCCTAAATGTTTTGTAATTCACAATAATGTACATTGCTAGAGAGCTGAAATAATGGAAAAAAAAAACGTATGTAGCCTACAAATAAATTTAAAAGAATATTTACAATATTTACAAATGAAAAAGTTCCGATCATTGGCATTTGTGTTCACCGAAACACGTAGGATGAACCTCTTTCTTGCATCTCTTGCAAACAGTCCTGATCCTCTTCCTGGTCCCTCCTGCACTTGTACTTTGTAGGCTACACACAGAACAATTTCTTAACATTCTTCCGGGTAGAGATTCTAGGCCGAATCCAGAAGCTTCTCCAGCGTCTCCGCCACCGCCCACCTCAGCAACATGTGGCTGGTTCTTCAGCATTAGCCAATCAGTAGAGAGCTCTTCAATTATGGAGTTGGTATAGTTAAATCTTGACAGTAATTTTCCTTGTAAATGATATACGAGTTGAGAATCATCCTGCCAAATATATTAAACACAACCTTCTTCCAGTACTTGACAGTTCTGCGCTCATCTAAATAACAGTAGAGCATTTGGTCTGAGCCATCAATCCCCCCCATATACATATTGTAAGTATCTATAATTTCAGGTCTCACTTTTGGGTTTTTTTCATGTCTTTTCCTTCTTCTTACTTCCACTGACTTTGCAGATGCTTTTGTAGAGAGTAAAAGCACTGGTTTCTTTTGAGAAGCTTTTTCTCGATATCCCAAAAAAAGCGTGTTCTCCTTCCGCAAATACGTCTTCTGGCCAACAGCAAACTTTTCTTTCAGCTGTGGAGGTATTCCTTTTCTATTTTTCCTAATTGTGCCAGTCATGTAGGTTTGGTTTTCGTAAAGGTGGTTCGCCAGAGGGATGCTCGTAAAAAAATTTTCAAGGAAGAGATGGTAGCCTTTTCGCAAATACTGACCTATCTCTAAAAGCTTGGTGACAACTTTGAATGCAAGGCCAGTTGATTTTCTCTTGTTCTTATTTCCTTTGTAGCAAAAAAAAGCCAAACAATACCTGGAGACAGAGTCACACAACATCCACATTTTGATGCCCCAACGATGGTGGTGCTTGTTGGGCAGGTATTGCATAATTTGTGAATGACTCTTAGTGCCAACCAGGCTTTCGTCAATTGATATCTCACGATGAGGGGTGTAATAAGTCCTAAAAATCCTGTTTGCATGATCCAATAGGGGGTTAAATTTAGCACAGGGGTCATAATTTGGATCACCTGGTTTAGCCAAAGTGCTATTGTCGACTATGTGAAAAAATTGCAATAGACACTCAAACCTGTTCCTACTAAACATTTTTCCAAACCAAGGTGTTTGAAGTGATGATTTTGTCGACCAATAGCTTTGAATAGTTGGCTTTCTTACAAGACCCATATTCAAAATTGTGGCAATGAAGGCCTTCATTTCCGGCAGGGTGACATTTTTCCAATCCCTGGCACGTGAATTTGGAGTCAAGTTATGTATATGTGCAGTGATGTAGTCCCTGGCATACTGGTTGGTTCTTAGCACAAAAGAATTCAGGAGATTTACAGTAAAAAATAAATTAAAGTACGATATTGGAGGTGCATCATGTGGGGGACAGTGGCGGATCTAGAACAGCCACAAGGGGGGGGGGCGAACCAGGGGGTCTGGGGGGTTCGGCGGTACCCCCCGAAAAATTAGTGTAAACTAAGTCTCCAAAATGGCGGTTTTATACCATTTCTTTGTCCAAAGTTAGTGTAACAAATTATTTTACGCAATTTGTATGCACTACTGTATTATATGCAGTAAAAAATATATGTATATGTATGCCCGAGGGGGGGGGGGGCGGTCGCCCCTTCGCCCCCCCTCTGGATCCGCCACTGGTGGGGGACAATGTTTTGGCCCAGGCAATTCGTCAAAAGGAAAAGTGTGGTCAAAACCAGGATCGTTACCTTCATCAAGGGGATCCCATCCAAGATGTTCATCAGCGTCAGGGTCATTTAGATTAGCATAAAGTACATCTTCCATTTCCATTACATCACCTTCTGGAATTGTGAAGTTGTTTACAACATCGTCAATAACTTCGTCGACTGTACTGTGGACATCAGCAGTGGGAGTAGGCCTAGGCCTATGTCTAGGTTGGGGGATTTCATCTTCTGAGTCGTCAGAGGGGTCTGGATTTACTATGTAATCAGGGTCTTCGTCCGTATCGTCCTCAAATTCTGGACCTAATCCTTCACTTTCAGAATCTGAACTGGGTTCTGAGCTCGACTCAGAAATATTGTCTACAAAACTATCACTCACATCACCATCGTCAACATTCACACCGTCACCCAATAGGTTGTTTATTATTGTATTTTCACTCACCGGTGACCTAACTCGTCTATTACTCATTTTTACTAAAACTCAAACTAACCAAACACATGCATAAATGTTATTATTTTAGTTTGTAGAGCATGCATAAGTTATTACACAAACAAACTTTCATGCCCTTACCTTCATCACAACATTACTTTTATAGCACTAGTCCACTAGTAAACACAAACAATAACAAACACCTTTCCATTCGCAAAACTCAACTAAACACAGATGACAAACGATCTAGACACAGTAGAGAAGTAATCAGCAACGCACAGACCAAGAGCAAACTCAAACTATGTAACTTCGTTGGTTATAGTCTCATACCGTATAAAATCGTCTGCAAACAGCTTCGTTATAGTCTGCAAATAATCCGAGTCGAATTTGGAGGGGTTTGGAAAGCATATAAGGCCAGTAAGTTAGAAAACATTGACGTGCTTTATAACGCACGTTGGCAATTTTCGCCCGATAGCCAACGAGTGTTATTGCGCACATCGGCCATTTTAGCACAAACCCCGACGTGCGCATTTGCCCTCGTCGGCAGCAAAAGGGTTAACATGGCGGGTTAGGTAAAAATAATTTTAAAAATTTATACACAATACAACTTGTACTTTCTCCCATAAGCTTCTCAATATACTTGGTAAGATGTGGAAGTAACAGATCTATGATAGGGGAACATTACAAAAGTTAAAACAACTTTTAAACCGCGATTAATTACAACACTTTGGGTTGTACCATTTTGTTTAAATCTAAAAGGGCCATAACCTACTAAATTAGGATAAAATATTTGAAGTCATTTTTGTAAAAATTAATTTTTTCTGTTATTTCATAGGAAAATCACCATTGAAAATCAAGTTTTCTAAAAATTAAGTTAAATCAAGTAGGAGTAAAAGTTGCATCCACCTTTTTTGGAATTCTAAACATTTTCTCACTTTTGCCAATAATAGTCTAAATGTTAGAAATAGTTTCATAAAGAATTGAACAGTTATTTGAAAAGAACTACTCGCTCAGTTATCTAAAATACTGTTCAGTTTAGTCTTGAGCAGTGTTTTATCCTGATGTGTTAAAAGGACTGTTGAATACGTAATATCAATATCACTTAGTAAGAAGTATAGTACTGAAGGGTAGTTAACAGGGTGGTCTAGTAGTAAGTCTGGTTTAAATACGGGTTGAATTCCTGCAATTTGCTTCCTATTACTAAGGTAGCTGCATAAGTTCTTATATGCAATGCCTTCAATTCCATAGAGTTTCAACTTCTCCAGTAGGATATTGCGAGGCTCACAATTGAAGGCTTTACTCAAGTCTCTCAGGGTTAAGACCAGAATGTCATTATTTTAAACGAGTCTGTAATTTCTGTGACTAATGATAATAGTTACGGCAGAAGTAGTATAGCAACCTTTCCTAAAACCGTGTTGATTTCCATTAAGAAGATAGTTTGGTTCCAAAAAGTTGGTTAATTGATTTTTTTAAATAGTTCTATCACCTCACCTTAGACATAACTGGGAGGACCGAAATGGGGCGACAGTTATCCAAGTTCTCTGTTTTGCCCTTCTTATGGATAGGGAAGATTTTTGCCTCCTTTAGTGCATCAGGGACAACTCCAAAACTTAGGCATTTACTTATTACACAATAAAAAGGCACAGCAATGACCTCTATGACAGGCTTCAACATCCTACAGGAGCTATTTATCTTCAAAGGTATCATAGCCACAAACTTCATTTAAAAAAAAAGAGCTGTAACCCTAAGGCCTCTTTTATGCACAACATTTTCGGTCGGGCGGAATGTAGGCTCCATTTATGCAGTTTTTTCTACCGAGCCGAATCCACTAGTTTTTTATGATGTGTTTTTGTGTGTGTGTGTGTTGTTTATGTGGTTCCAGTGCTGCCAACTTTGTTTATTTGGCCATCATCAGTCACACAAGAAGGACCCTTGTTTATCGGTTTTGACACATTTGTGCATGAAGTAAAATAGACAACTAACAGGAAGGAGGTGGGCTGGATACTCGGTGAATCAAAGTAGTAAACTTTATGGAGCTTCCACAAACTTAAATGGTATGCTGCGAATTGATTGTTTTATTCCAAGGATTAAAACAAAAATGTAAATTAATTATACTCACCATGTAAGTTTTATTGCAATTATATCACTTCTTTAGCTGAATCCTCGATCTATTGCAATGGTCATCCATTTACAATGGTTAGGTGATTTTGATACCGTGGGTGACAGAGTACGGGGTTGGTTGGCAGTGCTGCATTCCGCCCGATGGAAAACACCGTAGCATAAAAGGGTTCCATTTGATCCTATGTAAAAAAAAAACGCCCCGGTGGAACACCAAGACTTGGCAGAGCGCGGAAACGCAACGGCAGAGATTCCGTCGTGCATAAAAGGGTTCCATTTGATCACATGTAAAAAACTCCCCGACAAAACGCCCAATGGGTTCCAACCGACGGAAAACATTGTGCATTTAATGAGAGCATTTTAATTAGGTTAATGTTATAAGGGAGCAGGAGGTTTACTCAACTAAACAAAGCTCGGTGATTACAAGAAGTTAAAATATTACCTATTGTCTGTAATCTACGATATTTATTTATATAATGATGTCTTTTGCAGGAGAAACTACCAAAAATGGCACCTCTACAGATTGGTTTTCCAATCTTTTACTAGTCTGTTGTAAAATTGTATCTAAAACTAAATTATTGACTTTATATAGAAAAACCTTACTGGTTTTAAGTCTTCTCTTCACTTTTCGATAATTAATTATCTTTAGTTGTATTAAATCACTAATATATTACTTTCAGACACTATTAATATAGTATTGTTCTTTTAATCTTTTATAATGAAACTGCTGTTGTAATTAAAATGAAACGATTGTTCAATGTTTTACAGTTTCAGTATTTTATCTAGCAGATGTATTTATCTAGGCCTAATAACAAGTCTAGAGAAAGATGCTATAAATTCTTGTTAAATTTTAAATTATATTAACTAACAGTATCGTGAAATAAGAAACTAAGTAGAAATTGACATTTCTTCACACTCTCTTAAAACTCTTTAAAAGTCCTAAAGTTAACATATTATTATTTGATAGATAACACTCTTGCAGATGAAATAGTATTATGTCTTAAGAAATTATTTCGTATTGTTGTATTTTTTCAGATTTATATTGCTTTTATTATACGTAAAACCGCTTACACGTCTTATGTTTGTTCCAGTTGGTTGTACTATTGTTTGTTGCTCATATTTATCTTTAGGTTTTTATATTTTGACAAATGTTAATCATTTTTGTGTTTTCAAGTATTAGGATTAAGTATTAGACCAGGGATCTCCAAACATTTTTACGTAAGCCACATAGAAAATTTTGGGAGGAATGGCGGCAGGCCAACAATATTTTAGTGCAGAAGGATTATCCTCCAATCCACAGTCATTTTGTATTTAAGAGCTTGGTTTTTTTGGATTTTCTTATTTTTACATACCGTACTATATTTCCTCTCATATAACATTTTGGCTAACAAACATTTTTACTTTTTTGTACAAGTAAAGCTGTGTACAAATAGAACAAACCGGAAAAACTTTTAGGATGTGGCGTGCGGGCCATTGGTTTTTATAATTCCTCTAGGTTTTAGCCCGAGATTGTTTTCCACATTACACCAGGCTAGGTCTCGATGGGGTTGCAGCATTAACACTTAGATTAAATCCATTGTTCATTGGTAGGATTTGAATCTGGGACCGATGTCCCGTGCTCTACCACAACTAGACCAGCTCGCTCCCGGGCCATAGGTTGGAGACCCCTGTATTAGTCCATCTTCATTGTTTGATGTAGAATATGGATCCTGTCTGTTATATTTTCCATTTCTGCAATGAATGGTTTTAACTTGCACACTAATATTTTTTTTTTTACATTTTATGTAATTTTGTATTTTAACTTTGGCTCTGAAGTCTTTGTATTTTTTATGATCAAATGTTGTAACACAAGTAAGGGCAGTTTTAGGTAAAGATGGTAAGTTTGTAGGATTTCATAAAGAATTGAAAATAGCTAGGTAAAAATTATTTTGTTTAAATTGCTAAAGCTTATGATACTCTATTATTCTATAATTCTATATTATTTATTTTATTATCAAAATCCAAATAGTGGCAATAATATAATATTACAAGAAGACCCGAAATACCCTTATAATACCACTTGGAAATATAAAACAATCCGACATATTTGTGTGTGTTTTAAAGGTGACAACAGTTTCCGTGGCAGTTTAGTATAGCTACAGATGTTTTATTTTTATAAATGGATACAATATGTATATTTTTTTCTTGAAAAAATGTGTATGTCAACGTTATGTTTGATTGTGGAATAACTATTAAACTGCATAACTTCTGTTGTAATTTATTGTTTTAACTAGGCTATATCACATTTAATAGCTTGTAATTGTGTCCGTGTCTTAAATAACAAGTGCCATTAATAATGTGGAACTTGCGTTAAGCATCTATGAAAGATATGTAAAAATTCTCTGAAGACTGATTTACTGCTATAGTTTAAGGCAGAAATTAGAATTTATATTCTTCTCTTTACTCCAGCTTTAAGCTATTAAGTTATATAGAGTGCTTTAATTAGTTAAGATTTACCATTCTCCCTGAAGGTGATGTGAAATTGTTATTTATAAGAGTGTTATTCTGCTGTAAACACATATTTTGTGAACTGTTTTATTTATATACCTACTTCAAAAAAATGTAACTGCAAAAATAAAAGTTTTCCAGGTTAAGAAGTGTTTTAGTTTATTTAGATTCCATGTTCTATAAAATATGATCTGGATTAAATTAAAACTGCTCCAAAACAAGTAATGTTACTCCAAACATTTAAGTAAAGAGGAAGAATATAATTAAGTGACAAGGGGTGAATAAACAGAAAAATGCTTAAAATGTATTGTTTTATTTTAAATTTTGCATAAAAATCTTAAAACATAAAAATAGATATTTTTTACATCAATTTCCTTAGAAAAATTCAAACCAATAATTTTATTAATCTTGAGCAAAGTAGGTTTTTAAACTTGTATAACAAAAATTATCAAAGCCTGTTATGAGATAGGTGGGTAGAATAACTCAGAAGCCAAACATTTGTTTCCTCAGTACCATCCTGGGTACCCTCCGATACCATAACCTCCGTAGCCAATACCACCGTAACCAGCATATCCAGGGTACCAGCCTAGGAAAGGACAAACATATGATTGAAATATAAAATCTTGTCAACTTTTCATTATTCTAAATTCAAATTCTTTATTCACTCATAACATCTTACATAGTACAACGTACAAAGACAGGAGTGTCGTCAAAATAAAAAAACTAACTATTCTAAACAGATGAACTATCTCATAATACAAGACAATTAGGACTCCATAGGCTTTTGACACTCAGGACTTGTTTCCTCCTACATTTACCGTAGATACTTGAGGTACCTACTTTATTAAATCAGTAGTATGTTTTTATTCTATCTATCTGTGCCTGTGAAAGAAAGAACTTAGGGATAAGACCACTGACCTGGACCTAGCTGTTCCTGATAATTGGGTTTTAAATAAATGATACCATATTCAGTATCTACTGAGTACTGACTAATATTGAGCAGCTGATCTAGTCAGTAACAAAGATCATCTCACACAATTCTTCTTCACTCATATTTTGGTCAAAATACACACGTAGGTGGCGTCCCCATCTCAATGATTGATAATGAATAACAAAAGAGCAAAGTGGAGTTGAAATGTAAAACTAAGGCAAGATAAATTAAATTCAATATTTACTTGCTGCATTAGCATATTTTAGATTTAGTTTTTTTTTTGTCTCAACCAAAAGGATACCAATTCAATATCATTGGGAAGAACTAATTTATATTTAAACTACTATTCATATATTTATGGATGATAATGACACTTTAATTAAGTTACGGTCAATACCATTTAGAAATTAAAATCATTAACTATACTTAATCAAAAATTATAGTCTATTGACCATAGCTAGACATTATTCAACTCATATCCCATCACTATTTAGTAGACCTGCCGTGTCTGTAGGGGTATAGCCCCAGCCCCCATAACCTCCCCATGGAGCCCCGTAGCCCAGACCCTAACCTGTAATAACTCGTAATCTGTTTAGCCAAAATAAACACATTATATACTTTTCTTGTGGAAAATTTAATCTTCTTCAATTTTATAATTTAGTATAGTATACATAATGCAACACATATCCTCACAACTATGTTTTAGACCTATGGTGTCTGTGGGGGTATAGCCCCAGCCCTACCGTGTCTGTAGGGGTAGCCATATCCGTGATAGCCAGGGTAGCCCCAGCCCCCATAGCCTCCCCATGGAGCCCCATAGCCCAGACCATAGCTAGACTCTGCCTTTAGGTCTGAAGAGCCTGCAGCTGGAGCAGAAGTCTTCAAATCCTCAGCAGGAGCAGCAAAGCAAGCCAGCACACAGGCTAGCAAGCAGACCTGTACCAATAAATAATACAGTGAAAAGTGTTTTAATAGCCTTGCTTGAGAAGCAAGTAGTTATGGCTCCTTTGTGGTTTATGCGGCTTGAGGATGTTTTCTTATATTCACATGAAGATTGTCAAATTAACTGATCAGTTAATAACGGACAACGCTAATCTGCAAGAGTTGTAAGTCTAGCCTCTTTATAACTTTAATTTAATTCAAAATTACACATTTTCAAACAATAACATGGATAGGTTTCCAGATTTCCAGAATATCGGTTGTATTTCCTTTGGGCGGATAGGATTCACCCCATTTTGCATACTAATTTACATGTATTTCTTATGGAAGGAGTATTTTAATAAGATATTAATTAAATAAGTAATAACTCGTAATCTGTTTAACCAAAATAAACACATTATATACTTTTCTTGTGGAAAATTTAATCTTCTTCAATTTTATAATTTAGTATAGTATACAAAAAGTTGATAGTTTTCGAGATATAATTTTAAAAATCAAAATGCATACCTTTAACCCCGATCTATTTTTAGGTTTAGTTTTAATAAATAGTTTATCACTCTCTCAATCAAGTAACAATTAAATTTAGGAGTCAGGACTTTTGGCATGTTAACACCCTTAAGCCCCCTGAACAAGTTTCTGAAGGAATCGCTTAGTTATCGGCTTACACACTCTACACCCACTTTTGGATGATTCATTGACTGGACTATTTGGCTATAAACTATATTGTTTAGGAAAGGCAACTGTATTTTTAGGGTGTGGGATAAAGAAAAGTACTTTTTAGAAGAACAAAATCTTATTTTGCTAGATTGAATGTTGACATAGTAATACCAGTATCAATCTATTTGATTTATCTTTATACCAAACAATACTACAACAATGAAAGTGACTATCAATGATGTGTTTGTGTCAAGGACATTCCCATGGTTAATTATTTGTTTACCAGTACCAAGTAATCAGTTTTTTTTTAGACTTGACACATTTAAAGTGATTGTTATCAAACCACATTTTTATGTTTCAGGTGCCATTAATAAGAACGTTTTTAGTTGCTCAACATACAGTCTATAGTCTACATCTATTACGATTTGCAATATCATTTTACTGTGTTACTTTATTGATTTAGAATTTTTTTAATTTTTGAAATGAAAATGACCATTCAGATGGGTTTGATAATTCCTACTCAGTGGTTTTAAGGTTCATAATTGTGAACCTGAAGGAACTATTTTAATTTTTTTAGTTTAGACTTTTTCTACGCTAAGTGTTTTGACTACACTACGTTGTGGGGAGGGGGGTAGTAGTTTGAAATGTGGTGTTCAAACCCTTCGGCCAGGTAAAGTACATTCTAAAATTTTAAAATCTCTCCATGCCATTACCCTAAATAACATTTCCAAACAAATCAAATCAAATCAAAATCTCTTTATTCCTGAATTAATTTACATGTTTGTTAAAAATTGTGTGTACAGGAAAAATAATTCCCAAGTAGACTATCCGTCTGTGTTTGGGAATGAGTTGCTAATACAGCTATACACAGGTCCATAAACATTCAGGAGTACTTAGACACTTAATGATGATAGTAAATAAGAAAATATTAACAAGATCAAGAGAGAAAAAAAAACCTAATTGCATCGAAATATCCAAAACTCAAATTTAGTGATTGTAAGTGGTATTTAGCAATGAAGGAAAAAAAGTGATTTGGTAACGCATGAAACTGCAGAAATTTATCACAGTTATTTATCACATTATACTAACATAATGGAGTTCTGGCTCCATGAATTACAGAAAATATTTGTCATTCATTTCAAAATCTCATTTTATTGTTTATAAATTCAAATTTTTAATCTTAATTTTATTTTTCTTGAATTTTATATTGGACAGCTTATGAAGAAGGTTGATTGTAATAACTTAATGCCAAAGTATTATTAACAATTTTTGATTTTTCTATTTTTGCAAATTCAATCCTTAAAATGTGTCTTAAGCACCTTATGTACACTGTATTATTTATTTTATTAATAGTTCATTATTATTATTATTTTATAAAAAACAATTATACTAGCAATGCATACCTAAAACGAGTAAAAAAAAACTTTAATGTTCGATTAAGCATATCATGGTATAAAATCTATGCCATCTTCTAGTTCTAAACAGTGATAGAAATAAATTAGTATTAAACGTCCCAAACTAAATAATCACAAGTTTAATCTAAACGAGATATTAACCAAACCTGCAAAAGGCACATCTAGAGGATAAGAGTTTTAAATTGATACCCAATATGCCTGCAAAAATAAATATTTAGGGGTCAATTTTGTTGCACACAAAAATCCAACGAATTATTTTAATAATATAGATACGATTGTAAAATAACAAAGAGTAGATTCAATAAACCTATTTTTAGGCTTAGTTTTACTAAATAGTTTATTACTTTCTCAATCAAGTAACAATTAAATATAGTTTCCACAATTTATATTTAACCTAATAAATGAATTTAATAAAAAAATAACCATAAGGTTTTCATTACATTTTTTCAATGAACGTTTACACATGCAATTACGAATCTGTTTAGAATATTATTTTTAAGACCATACAACAAAAGAAAGTGATGTTCATAAGTAAAATAAAAACGTTTTAAAATAGTAAAGATAAAAAATTAACAATATTCAAAAGTGGTCTACTCACAAGGGTAGCAAGGGAAGCCATGACTTGGTTGGTCAGCGGGCGGAGTTGATGCTGTGAGTGTTGTGGATATTTTGCCGGACAGTCCGACAGCGCCTTCTTATAACCCCTTGTAGCGCGGGAAGGTCGCGTACACCATGATCAGCTGATATCTTTACACCTGATTTGTTCATCATTGTTGCAATCACCTGATCCCATGACGTCATTGGTTCTTCTCTGATTGGTTGGAGGTTTTGTCTCGCCGTTTATTCAATTATCATCTTCCCTTGTTCGTTTGAATTGTGGGGTGATAAATTTCCAAGGAATGATTGCTTGATTGAGTGGTCTAAGATCACGACTGGGTGTGAAAACTTGAGACGTAATTGATGAGTAGGTTGGGTGTTATAAATATTTGACGATAGAGAATAATACCCATAGGGATGTAAGTTGCTATACTTTTTACAGGTTGTAGAGTATTAAGAATATCACTTGGTTTTAGTATAAAGATTTACAAACAGTTATTAGATAAAAGATTTATTTTGCTTTTCAGATAACAAAGTAGGCCACAGTATACACTTATCAGGATCACAGTATACTTATTACAGCATAGAAGTGCTGTATTATGCTAGCAGGATGCCTAGAAATTTTCTTTTAAGAATAATCATTGGATTTTGTATTTTGTTTCAGAAAACTTATAAGAACAACACGTTTCACTTTGTGACTACCTTTTAATAGTCCAAACAGGCTGTAAAAGAAATTGTATCTTATTAAGATTTAAATCACATCAAAGTTACCAATCATACAAGTAAAAAAAGTTTATAGTACATGTACGTCTTTCATCACTGAATAGGCTTCCTTACCTCCGTACGAATATTTTGATTACGAACTGAATAAAGGAGGTTTAATTTACTATCATATATTAAACCTAGTTAGTTTTACATGAATGGATTATTCAATTGATCATATTGGTATATTGTAAATAGTACTGTGTACACGCATGTAAGTTAGTATTTAGACCTTTATAAGTTGTAATAATATATTTCATCGCCAGGGCCTAAAACTATTCTTCTTGGCACGAAGCCGTAGTTTAACAACAGAGTCTGTGGGATTCATAATACTTGTTCAATTTGCAAAATGTTTGCATTATTTGTTAATTAGCTCCTAAAGTTGTAGCCTGCTGTTTTACTATTACCGTATATTGTTTTGCTATACAGAGTGGCTGAAAAGTAACTTGCACCCCCCCCCCCTTAACTTTTGAACCTTTTGACATATTTGAAATCCGTTTTGCGGCAACCTTCTTAAAAATGAGGGGCTACAAGCTACGTAGCTTAAAATTTTCAAACAGGAAGTATGGCCGAGTTTGGTATAATTTTACAGGTATTGACATAACTAAACAATGAACATTAGAAATCGGACCATTAATAGCAAAATGACAGCTAAAAATGAGTAAGACAATGGTTAAAAAAAATTAATTAAGTAATAAATTAATAAATTAAGTAATTTATGTAGTTGTTACTGGATTTTGCTATAAACTGTAGGTAGGTCCCTAAGTTGCCATTAGCTGTTTGGGCTATTAACATAGACAAAACAGCTGTTTCTAAGGATATGTCGGTCTCAGCACAGAAAACGTACTATAGTTCGGCTTAGAAAACGACCTGCGCGCTAATGCTAAACCAATGCTGGAGGAGGTCGTTTTCTAAGCGGCCGAACTATAGTACGTTTTCTGTGGTCTTAGTCACTAACAAGACTATATACAAGATCGCGCCACTCATCCTACACTCATCTCCATTCATAGTTGGCTTAAAATACCTACTTTGTATGGTAGCCATTTCGTTAAAGAGTATTAAAGTATTTAAAAGTATTAATGGATTCGTTTTGCCCACTGAGATAATAATGCATTTATATTCAAATTAGTGAATTATTTTGGCATTTCAGTTTGTCAGTTTTGCATACAGCGTTATACCATGATAGATACATACAGCTTTTAAAAATAATACGATACGTTTTTATTAACTGAATTTATATACTACGGCAAATTAACTCACGAAAAAAGTCTGTTTTTGATAAATATCGGTAATACTGATATAAATAAAATGCATATTATATAAATACAATATGAGCAAAACAAGACGGGAAAATGTTTTTTAGTTTATTTATAGAGGTAAACAATGTACGAAATCTTTTTTTTTTGTGATTTATTTAGCTATGAAATAATTGAACAGTATGTAAAAAAAATTCTCACACAGACATAAAGTGGTTAATCGCCCATCGTTTATTTTCTTTCATTTTCGCTATATTTGTTGTTTTTAAACTTCACCTTGTGGCGAATAAGTAGTTACTTTAGCGCCTGGTAAAAGAACTGTAGGCCTATTACACATTATACAACTATAAAACAAGCATAACTATAAAACACAAACAATGACAAGTTGAATTCATGTACGACTACTGTATTATCTGTGCATTATAAAATCAAAAGAGGGACGAAATTTAGATTTCTTAGGTTTGGTGGTTTATTTGCAAGGAAAAGTTCTTAAGTGAAAACGTTTTTAAGGATTATTTCAATATGTACTTAAGTACATCTCCATTCTGTACGAACCATGCATTGAGTTTGACCATACAATTGACTAAAATAAATGCCCATACTAATCTACCTATTTCCCTATAATGATGTATTTTGACATTGACTATACAATTAGTGTTGTACATAATCAATGGTTTAGGCCATGAGTTTTACGCATGGTTGATGTCCTAACTGATCTACAACTACGGAACGTCATACATGATGGTTAAAATTACGTGATTGTGTTTTGAGGTTACATAATGAAGAAAATATGTTTTTGCGCACTCAAGATACGCTCAACCGTATATTCAAAATATTTTCTTATAGATTTGTCAACCTTATGGTTTATTTTTAAAGACCATTTTAAGGTTTATTTAATTCCGGTAAACTTGTGTGTTTTTGTGTTTTCTATCATTTGTAGTTTTTTTAGCATGTAAGCCAATGGATTAGTGCTCTGTAAATTTTACACTCAAATAATGGAACACAAATTGTTGTAGACATTCAAAGAAGTTCAAAGCAGCCTACAAAGTCGACGGTTCGATAAACTAACCCTCTAGTACTTAAGGCAGTTATATAGCAATGTATAGTTTCCAAATACAAGTTTAAATCTGTGTACAGAAATCAATCCATTGAGCCTTAAATTACGATTTTTAAGCTAACGATCCTTACGTGAAATTTGAAGTAAGCTTTGGTAATTTGAAGTAAATTCTAAATGCCTAAGACATTAGCTGGTGGTGAAGCTTATGAAGATTGAACAAAGTCAAAATTGGTGATTGGTTGAAGAGGTAATATTTTTACGATCTCTCAAGTGATTACTGTTCAAGGATTTCTGACAAATGCGTAGGCGTTCACCGTCCCTCCCCAGATGAATAACATTTTAACAAGGTAGAGGAAATGTTTGAAACAAACAAAATGTAACAATAACAAAACATTAGTAATTACGTGGTTATGACTTTGAATAATTAATTGGTTACAGCTATAAACGATTTGTGAGTGATTAAAATATCCCTGATTAAGTTAAATACGACAAAATATTAACATCGACAAAAAAGTAGTGGAAAAAACGTGTGTTTCTCTAACACAAATTTAACACTGGGTTGCGGAGTTGAGCTAGGTAGTAATCCGGATCCGCCCCTTTTTTGTAGGTTTATTTTTTTTATAAAAAGTTTCATCCTTTTCACGCCTGATAAGTTTTAAAATAGGGCTATAAAGTCATGTACAGTTATTTTGTTGACGGTTACAGAGTTTTTAATTTATATTGCTTTTATTGTATTATTTCATTGGCTTATTGTAGACGAGCTGAATTAAAATAATTGTATATTAAATACATCGCTTCTGTACTTTCTGTTACAGGTGCAGGTTACAGTAGTAGTTTTTTGTTTTTTACAGCAGGGCACCAACCAAACAGTGCAGCCATTGTTTCAGAAACCATTGTTTTGAGTTTTTGTTCATATTTAAATGCTAGCTGTAACACATATAAAGCGAAATCGAATCTTAATAATTGTTTCCAATAAATATTTTGATCGAACAACGATAAAAGTTGCGTTTTGAGTTTTTAATTGTAAATCATATGAACATTCTCAGCGTTCAAAGATTCCGTTAACGGGAGGATGAACATACATCGAGATCAAAAAATTAAACAACTACTTGTTTAATCCGTTAAATATATCATTGGAAAGATGGTTGAATAATTTTCAAGTCCGATGAAAAATTATAAAAACTCATTGTGAAAAGGCGGAGTCGTAACAAAGTTAGGCCAAACGGTAGATGATAATAATAAAATAGGTTTACATCTTCTATAAACTTTGACTCAACAATTCTTCTGCCATGTTGTGCATAGCAAAATAAAAACAACGGTACATGCAACACTAAAACCTTGAACTCTTTCTACATTGTTGTAAAGCCGTCACATCAATACATGGGAATCTCTCACAGTTAGTTTATATTTCATTGTAGAACCACTCACTCCTGGCATGTGACTTAACGGATGTTTTCTTTACGCGTCTGACAGTCGAGATATATAGTCTTACGGTGATTTCTCTATACGGTAGTAGGCCTATGTTTATCAAGTCAATTTCCAGTTGTTCGACCCACCCATAACTGTAGTCTGAGATGAGTTTAGATGTATGAATGTTTAGACGTTATTTTTAGAATGTAAACTCGTAAAATATTAAGTCATAATAATTGCATGTTGTAACCTATCTAAGGCAAATTTAGTATTCTATTACATTGGACTTATATGAATAACAGTATATCTCTCAAAGAATTACTGAGTTCAACATCGTATTCAAAGCTAACCATTAAAATACAAAATTAGTAAAAAATACGTAGAGAAATAAATAAATATCAATGCCGGAATCGAAATATACTGTTTTAATTTTAAAAATGCAAATGAATAATTGTATTAGACATAACACCTTGTTCCATTGGGTGGAGGCGATCAAGAGTAGGAAGTAAAGGTGCAAGTTTTGTTTTAACCTTGGGTTAAATGAATCGTGGAAAAGTATGGTTTCAACATTTGCCTCATTGAGAAATGGGCAAACCATTGATGTGTTGTTCTCAAAGGTTGCACGGGATTTAAGTAGATTCAACTCATAAGAA